AGAGAGAGAGAGAGAGAGAGAGAGAGAGAGAGAGAGAGAGAGAGAGAGAGAGAGAGAGATGGAGGAGGGAGAGAGGAAGATGAAGCCCTCCTCGCTATCTCACCTGCAGGTAGTTGTCACTGAACTCACTTCGTCCGTTGCTGTGTGCAGGTACCGTGTGGAGCCCAGCTATAGCGCCAGGTAAGCTCGCCGGCTGCAGGTATGGCCTCCGCCACTCCCTATCTCCTCTAACCTCTACTCCCTACTCCGCTACCCAGCGCAGCATGGCGCAACCTCCATCCAGCAGCATGTCACTCAGAAGTGAGCTACTCGAACTGTCCTGGGCCCAACCGCTGCCCAACTATTTGTAGCGCTGGGCGGCTGGGCCTACCTGGTGCTGTGTGGCCTAAAACAACCCAGGTGGTCTCGGTCCCTACCGGACGTCCAGACCTTTGCTGCTGCTGCAGCATGACGCAGAAATGCGCCTGGCCTAAAAACTGCCTTCTACCGGTGCACCTGGCCCAAGGTATTCCTGGTGTTGTCTTGGGTCCTGCAGGACCGAAACAACGCCGGTAGGTTTGGTGCCAAAATGCGCCTGGCCTTGTTTCGGGCCTGCCTCCGGTGTACCCAGTCCCAAGATCCGGCCTTGGGGCTGCAAGTCCGAAACGGCACCTGAACAGACAAAATAAGACAACACACACACACCAAAAAAACGGTAAGTAAAACTCCAACCTATCTACCTAGTGTGCTGCCTAGGGCCTGGAGGGCCGTCGTGGGCCTCCAGCGCGCGTGCTGGATGGTACGCGGCCTGGGGGCCCCTCAGCAACCATCGGGCCCCTCAAATGGGGCCCGTGTGCAGGCGCAGCATGCAACACCCCCCCCTCCTTATGAAATCAAGTCGGTCGGGGGCGAGGCTGACGATCTGAAGGTGGTACTTGGACGAGGGTGCGGCGTGGAGCCGAAAATGCCGGCTTGTCCTTCAACTTTTGCTCGTAGCGTGCGAGAGCGTCGGGAGCCGTTGCTTGAAGTTCCGCACGGGTCAGCCATCGGTCAGCTCTATGGGTGCAGTATTCAAAGTGAACCAAGAACTCGGTTGGCTTGTTGCCATGTCGTCGGTGGGATATGATGTTGCCGATCTTTTGGAAGCCGTCCATTGAGGGCAGGTCTTGCGATCGTCGTCCGGGGAAGTCATCAAGTTCTGCTGGCGTGTAGAGAGCCAATTTGGAACAGTGAAAAACCGGGTTGACGGGCAAGTGGTCGGGCACCCGAATGATAAATGAAGGGCCTTCGGGTGCGTCTCCGGCGGGTGCCACGATCGGCCAGGGCCCCATCCATTTCGGAAGGAGATTGCGAGAGATATCTTGTTCGAGGCTGAATTCCGCATCGGAAACCCATACAAGGTTGCCGGTGCGGAACGGACAAGGAAGACGTTGGCGGTTGGCCTGTTGGCGCATACTTTGCTGCGTCCTTGACATCTGGTCACGTGCCTTGACAAGAAGCTCTTGCATCCGACGAATGAAAAGAAGGTGTTCGTCGCTCTCGATCATTCGTGGAATGATTGTGTCCAACGGAGAGTTGACCGGCGAGCCATGCTCGAATTCGAAACGCGACATCCCGATAGTCGGATGGATGGACGAGTTGTATGCCAACTCGACATCCGGCAGCCGCTCGACCCAATCCTTTTGGTCAGGACAGATGAGAGTTCGAAGAAGGACCTGTGCAGTCTGATGTGCCCTCTCCGTTTGGCCATCGGTTTGGGGGTGGCGAGCCAAACTTGGCTTGAGGGACGAGCCCCATCGCTTGATGAGCGCCAACCAAAAATCGGACATGAACCGAGTGTCGCGGTCGCAGACGATTTCCTTGGGGTATCCCTGGGTTCAAATCCAACCGGCGTAGAGAACCTCGGCCAACTCCGGTGCCTTGGCGTGATAGCGGCAAGGCAAGAACATGGCAAACTTGGTGAGGCGGTCAACCACCGTGAGAATCCCATCGACGCCCGTCTTGTGCTTGGGGAATGGTCCGGTGATATCCATGGCAATCGCTTCCCTTCGGCGCAAGGGGACTGGTAATGGTCGCAGTTCGCCATATGGACGATGATTGTGAGGTTTGCAACGTCGGCAAACTTCACATGACTCGCAATAGCGCGTGACATCGTCGAGGAGGCCGGGCCACCAAAAGCGCTCGCGTAGTCAGCCAATCGTGCGATTTACTCCAAAGTGTCCGGTGGCGAGGGCGTCGTGGAACTCGCCAAGAAGCCGGGTGCGCAAGTGGGAACCTTGCGGCATGCAAAGGAGATCATTCCCCTGCGAGTGAAGAAGCAAGTATCCCTCTTGGATCCGATAGTGCGAAGGCGCCGGATTGGGAGAGGAACAATTTGCGTACTTGTCGTGAAACTCGGGGTCGGCTTGATAGCCGCAGATGAAGCTGTCCCGCAAGTCATCCTTGATCTCGAAGGTTGAGTAGACCGCGGTGCAGTTTTCCGGACGCCGCGAAAGGGCATCCGCAAAGCGGTTCGACTTCCCCGGAATGTGATCGGGAAAGAAGTCGAATTGGTCGATGAAGGACATCCAACGGGCGATGGTGCTGTTGATGGTGTCTTGAGAGTTGTAGAAGACCAACGAATTGTTGTTCGTTACCCATCGGAACTGGCGTCGACCGAGGAGGAAGTGCCGCCACTGCTTGAGTGCGTGGATGAAGGCGAGAAGTTCCTTCTTGCGTGCATCGTCGATGGAGTGCATGACCGACACTTTCTTGCTGAAGTATTCGACCGGGTGCCAGTCCACGCCGTCATGTTGCTCGAGGACGGCACCAATGCCATAGCCGGACGCATCCGTGGTGACGCGCGTTGGCAATAGCAGGTCGTATATCCGCAATACGTCCGCGAAAAGTAATGCGGCCTTGAGGGCCAAGAACGATTCACGAGCGTCCGTCCCAAAGTCAAACGGCCGGTCCTCGCATTGAAGCTTGGTTAAGTGGGCCGCGATCTTCGAGTACCCCTTGATGAAACGTTGGTAGTAGCCGGCGAGGCCAAGAAATGATCAGATATACGTGACGCTCCGCGGCTCCGGCCAATCTTGGACGGCTTGAATCTTGTCCGACAACGGACTGATGCCTTGTGGAGTGACGAAGTGGCCCAAATATTCCAACTCTTGACGCACAAACTCGCACTTGTCGCGGTTGGCTTTTAACTTGGCACGTCGGAGTGTCTCCAACACTCGTCGAAGATGGTCAAGATGTTCCTCCAAAGTCCAGTTATAGACGAGGATGTCGTCCAAGTAGACCAGCACGAACCGGTCCAACATTCCCCGGAACTCGTTGGTCATCGCGGCTTGAAAAGTCGTTGGGGCGTTGGTGAGTCCAAAAGGCATAACAACCGACTCGAAGTGCCCGTACTGTGTCTTGAACGCGGTCTTGTAGCGATCTTGTGGCCGAATCGAGATCTGATGATATCCTGACATCAAATCCAGCTTAGAAAAAAAATTTGCGCCGCCCAAGCGCTCCAGAAGGTCGTCAATACGAGGAAGAGGTCCCGCGTTCTTGACGGTTTGCGCATTGAGCTTGCGGTAATCGATGCATAGGCGAAGGTCCTTGTTCTTCTTCCGAACGAAGAGAACCGGCGCACCATAGGGTGAGCTGCCAGGCCGGATCCAACCTTTGTCCAACAAGTCGTCGAGCTGCGCGTAGAGTACTGTAAGTTCCTCCTCGCTCATGCGGTGAATGCAACCTTTTGGCAGCACGGCACCGACCTCGAGAATGACCTCGTGAGAGATTGGCCGATCCGGCACCACGCCGGTAGGTGACTCGAAGACGTCGGCGAATTCGTCGACCAACCGCACCACCCGGGGGTCTGAAGACAAGTCCGTAGGTGGAGAGTCGGCTACCTCGATGGTTCGAAGAAAACATAAGCCGATCTCTTCGGTCCGCTCGTAAGCACAAGTGGCCCGAAAAGACTTGGTTGTTACAACTTGGCACCGGATTGAAGGGTGCGGAGGAGGAATGGTATATGATACTTCGGCGCCGAACGCGTCGTGAACCGTAAGCGTCCGCCGGTGGAAGTTGACCGTGTGATCCGCCCTTGCAAGCCAAGGCATGCCCAAAATGATGTCGAAGTCCGTGTCCAAGACGTCGAACGTCACCGGTTCGTATGCATGAGGTGCAAAATAAACCGGGACGGCTTCGATGTAGCGATCAAGGAGTTGTTGCGTTCGACCGTCCGCCAACTTGATCGTCGTAGGGTGTGCCTTCCTTCGAACTTCTGGTCCAAGGCCAGCCCTTTGCATGAAGGACTGACTAATAAAGTTGCGAGTCGCGCCGCTATCCAGCAAAGTGCTGCAGGACGCTTGCCCGATTTGGATGCGGATATAAAGGAGCGGTGCGTTGTTGTCGTTGTACCGCTGCGTGCGAAACTCGCGGGCCACCTTGCTCACATACGCAAGAATGTCCCCCACCTCGACCCCGTCCTCCGTCGGCGAAGTTGGTGGTGCATAGAAGGCTAGGTATGTATGGAGATGAGCGCTAAGAGTTGCGCATTGCGGCTCCGGTAAGCAGTCGGTGGAAGGGAGAGGAAGCCATGCAAAATCCTCGGGCGTCAACAGGTCCAAGTCCTCAATGTTGAACGCGCGCGCCGAATCCCGTGAAGGTCCACTTGAAGACGAATCAATGTCGCTGCTTCCAATCGGAGAAGAAACCGCACATACATCTTGTCCTTGGGCTCGTGAATTCAGCGAAGGTACGAGCCGGGCAGCATAGTCCTCGAAAGAATGGAGAATGGGAGGACTTACGACGTCCGCATGTGCCCCGGAACCGAGGGAGGTTACTCGCGCGGTAACCGGTTTCGAAGGCATCAAGAGTGTCGTTGCATCACTCTCGGCGGTGCTCACTTTCTCGACTGAGCGGGGCCCTTGGCTTTCGTGGGGCAGTTCGCGGTCTCATGGGCTGCGCAATTGCACCACAAACAATAACGGTACTTGGTGTGGACGCGATACCCGCGCTCCGTCAGACCGTACGCTGTCCAAGGTCCTTGAGCTGGAGCTGCGTGTTCGAGCCCAGAAGAAGTAGTGGTGGTTGTCTTCGTTTTGCTGCGTCCTCGTTCTTTGGCGGGGCGGCCACCATTTTGGGCAGCGGCGAGTCTGTCTCCCTCGTCAGACGTCGTGGCCTCGTTTGAAGTTGAAGGGTCGCTAGGCATTGCTGCTGCGACCACGGCCACTTTCGGCCGACGACCGATGCTGATTCGCGCCCTGGCCGGCATTGGACGAATGGTCCATATTCCGGGCTGCCAAATTCGTCACAATGATCTGCGCGACCTTGTTGAAGAGTTCCTCACTTGTGGTAAGGGTCTCGGCGACATGAGTCAACGCATTCTGCAGCGCTGGGCACGACCTCTTGATGAAGTAAAGCTTGATGCCGTCAAAATTCAGCGGCAACTTGGGCATGCTTGCCAGGCGTTGGAACTCAGATATCCAGTCGCCGCTTGGCATGTTGTGTTGCGTGAATGTCAACAACTTGTCCATCGCCTGGTGTTCCGGCAGTTCCACTTGGAAATGCTTCTTCCATGCCACCGTGAGATCCGCCCAGGTGATGTACTTATGTAATTCTGTGGCTGTACATGTGTGTGCCGACAGCATATTGTCCAGCCATGATTGGCACGCACCTCCGGAGCGGGAGTACAAATAGGCGTGCCGGTTCTCGTTGGCGACGTGGTGGAGGTCCAGCTTGAGGTCGAACTGGCGCCACCATTGTATGGGGTCCGTCTTCGATGCGTCACAGAAGATCGGGAGCCCGTCAAACTTGACCATGGTCTCACGTGGCGTCGTGCTGGAGCTGGCTGCGGCGCAAACGTGCTGTTGCGTCCCGGCCTTGAGTGTCCCCACGTCTATCTCCAAAACGTTGACGAGGTCGGCGAGGTAGGAGGGGTCGGCGCTGGCATTGGCGTTAGCGACCTGCTGCTCCAGCGGCTGAACGCGCTTGAGCGTCTGGTCCAGTGACTGATGTAACGCCTTGCTGGTGTGGTCGAGATAGTAGATATCCTCCTGCTGCGCGATGCAAGTCGCGAGGAGGTCCGTGACACGGTTGAGCAGATGAGATACCTTGCTCCCGTAGTCGACGGACTCGCCGCTCTCGACGTCCCTCTGCCAATCCTTGGCCTGTGCGTGAAGTGAATTCTCCTCCCTGAATATGGTCTCGCGTCGCCGCACACGTTTTTCATCAGCTGCCTTGGCTGCTGCTGCCGCGTGCTTCTGCCGTTGTTTTTCAGCCAGAAGACGCTGTTTCTCTGCCTCTGCTTCCCGCTTCTTCCGTGCTGCTGCCGCTGCGTCTGTGCTTGGTTTCGGCCATGATGGCCGCCAGCCGTGCCTCGTAGGGCTCGTCAGTCTCGCCTGCTTTCTGATCCATCGCTGCTGTCTGCGAGCGAGTAAGTATGGTCATGCGTTGTGGGTCCCTGACGTGGCCTGCTGAAGCGAGGACTTACCTGGTCTGCAACTAACAGGGAATGGACAGTTAAGAAGGACGGAGAAGGGATGAAGGGGTGGGGTGGAGAAAAGGGGAGTGGGCAATCGGATGGTCGCCCAGATATGGAGCCACTAATAAAAAAAAACAAATTTGGAAACTTGCAACAATTTCGAGAAAGAAAAAAAAAAACTTCGAATTTGCAAGTTTGTAGGCCCCCCAGATATCCCCTCAGCAGTTAGAGCCACAAATTTTGAATTTCAGACTGTCGAATGCATCAAAATGTCAAATGGAGATACAGGACTGCGAAAAAAGAGAAAAAAATATCAGTTCCCGCATGTGTAGCATCGTGTTCGGGTTCGGTGACCGAACCCGAACGTTCGCGACTGAACGCGAACGAGCGCCAAACCCCCCCAAACGCGAACATAAAAAAAAAAAAAAAAAAAAAAAAA